TTCCCTGTCAGGTCACTGCTGAGCAGGTGCCCTGCCCCCACCCACTCTGGAGCATCTGGCTCAGCCTTGGAACCCCTGGGCTCGGAGGCCTCTCAGGGTCTGTGAGAGAATGGAGAGGCATGGGAGTAGGGGCTCACATCCAGGTGCTAATCCCTATGCAGCCAGGGTAGTACCAGGGCCTTGGTGACCTTCTTGGAGATTAATCCCCATGGAGACAGGGCAGCTCGCCCCCTCATTCTGCCTAGGCCAGGTGGGTAGCTAGCTAGGAGGGCAGGTGGGGCAAGCCAGGAGCAGGCTCGGGAAGGAAGAGAGCCTTCCTCAGACATGGCAGGGTCAAAGGCAGGCATGACTGAGAGGCCCCCTCCAGCAACCAGCTTAGTTTACAGGTTAAAAACAAAAAGCAAAAAACTGAGGTTTCAAGCAGGAGGTGGGGTGGGGTGAGGGCAGGCAGAGGCCATTTATGGAGCAAAGAAAATCAGAGGAACCAGAAGCTAGATCTTCCGCTCCACCCCTCTTTTTTTTTTTTTTTTTTTAATTGTTTCTTGACAGCATAGGCCTGAGCAAGAATAGGGGACTGTTGGAACATCTCCCCTGACCCTGTGAAACTGAGCCGGCAGAGTGGCTCCTGGGAGGCAGAAGGCCATAGTGGAGGGTGCTCTCCTGACTTCCCGAGGACCAGGATCGAGTTAGAAAAAGATGCTAATGACCCCAGGGCTATATTTTCTGCCTTGACCCCTCCTGATCCAACCCCACGCCATTTCAGAGGAAGTGGGGAGAACCTCCCAGACCAAGACATCCATTACCTGAAAATATACCAACAGTAACTGCTACCATTGAGTGTATATTGCAGGGTGGTTCTGTGTTTTACATACATTTAAATCTTCACTGTAGTCAAGACAATGATTCCCATTTTACAGAGGAGAAAGTGCAAAGGTAAAGTGGAGACTAGCCCCACTTTCAAACAGCTGAGCTGGGTCTGCTCTCAGCGGTGTGGCTCCAGAGAGCACCTAGCCTGCAGTGTGCCTCTCTGGACAACTGCAGAGGGGGCATGTGTGCATGTCAAAGCTCATGAGGGCATGCTCCAGTGTGAGCCCTCCCCGATGCTTGGCACACGATACTATAAGTGACTGGACAAATGTCTCTTCACAAAGGAAGTGTCTATTGAGTCCTGAGACAGGGCAGCTAACATACCCATGTACCTATTACTGAGGACGACTCCACCGACAGTTGTGAACCTGTGGGCATGTGTCCTCTCCCTGCCATCCTACAAGAGTCTAGTAGCAGCCTTGTGTCTAGGTGAGGGCATAGTAAAAGCTGCTTCTCTCCCCTCTGGATGGGGGTCTATCATTTCTCCAGCCTTACTGAGGGACAAAGAAGATGGTGGGATAATAGGTCTATGTGGGTGGGGCTCCCGTCTGCATGATGAACCGAGTTATCTCTGTCTCCTGGGAGACAAGGCTTGTACAGCCCCAGGGAAGGAGCTCACCAGTCTGTTCCAGACCTGGAACAGGGTGGGACAAGAGCAGCCAGGCTGCACAGAAAGGCTGGCAATGGGACTGGGGTGGGCGAGGGCACACACAGAATTTGCATTTTCAGCCCAGAAGGCCCTGGATAATTTCCCTGTGAAATGAGGGGAAGAGGTGGGATCAGAGGAGGACCTTAGCCACTGGCACCTCAAAACTGTCCTGCAGCACTGAGAAGTATCGTTCTTCATGGAGTGGCACTTTATTTAGGGTCAGTGACCTTTCCCTAGGCATTCTCTGGACATTCCCTGGGATGGAGATGTGAGTGGGAACCAGGATTGGGTCTGGGCATTTATCTGCAGAGTCTACTGGTCCCCACATGGGTGAAGTATAAGATCCCTACAGAAGCCTGGAGATTTCTTATGGCTCTAAGGGTCAGCGTGGAATGAATAGTTTCTTAAAATCATGGAGTAGGGTAGACAGAGTAGAACGGGGTGGAAATGCAGATAAGGTCTTCAGACTTCTGGGGTTTGTGTGTCGAAGAGTCCCTTACATGAGATGATTACCTCAGTGGGAGCCACAGTGGGCACTATCATGAGATCCTTGTGAGATCTCCAGATGACTTGGGGGTACAGACCTGAGGTTGCTCCCCCCCAACCCCCGCCTATTCCCTGAATGTCAAATTTGTGCATGTGGAGGTGAAGGGGATGGTACTGAGCTGGCAAACAAAGCCACCTGGGCATCCATCCTTCAGGAAGCTCTAAGCTCAACTGATCTGGGAGAGCAAACAGGAACAGCTGCTGGGGGTAGGAGGGGGCATGAGGGGAGACCAGGAGCTGGGATTAAAGCAGCCTGGTGAGGAAGGGAGGCTATTGGAAGGAGTGAGTCTCCAGCAAGGGGAAAAAGAATCTCTTAGTGCTGCTCCAGCACACCAGGGTGTAGGGGCTGCCTGAGAGCCTCTTGCAAGACCTTTGTCCTTTATTACTGTCTTCCCTTTCTTGATCTCTGAGGCTTGGGGTGAGGTGAGGGGACATGGGCATCAATTGCTGTAGGCAGAAGCAGTAGGTGTAGTGGTAGACAGGTATAGACAGATATGTCCTTTAGCTAGTTGCAGATAGAACTAAAAGCCGTGGATGGGTGGTGAGATCTAGCTTCCTGATGAGGAAACACAGGTGCAGACAGACGAGAGAGTCTGGCTGCTGCCAAGAGGAGAATTTCCAACTGGAAAGAGTGGGCTTCTTGTATAAATCGCCACCCCCAAGCCCAGGTGACACCTAATTCTAAGGAGTCTCTCACTATCCTTCTGCCTGAAGTGAACACATATCTGGGGAATACTGGCCAACACATAGACTGGAAGTTGCCCCCCACCTCCAGGCTCAGCTCCTGATAAACATGACAAACACAGCCACCAACAGCACAGATGTACAGCCTGTTAACACCACAGCCTCTTCTGATAACACACACACACACACACACACACACACACACACACACACACACACA